GTCAAAGCATTGAAAAATGACTCATCGATTCCATGCCATAACGAGTCAAAGCACTGAAAAATGACACATCGATTCCATGCCAGAACGAGTCAAAGCACTAAAAAATGACTCATCGATTCCATGCCAGAACGAGTCAAAGCACTGAAAAATGCTAATGGCAAATCGACTGAGTACTGATGCACATTTGTAAACATTTTTGTCAAGTTGATAATGTGAGATAAATGACTATTGAAAAAAATCATGATGTCTATTTACTTTTGAGATGTCTCTGTATATATGTATATATTTGGTACGTTTGACAAAATTATAGTCTAAACATATTTCAATAAACTTTGCGTAACTATTTGATTATTAAAATTTATTTAAATTATTTGGAGAACCGCCCATGCCCCGAGGGGTATAAAACAGTTAATAATATCTGAACAAAAGAAGACGGGGTATTAGAATAAAATATCCCAATAAATTAAACTTAACATTTTAACAAACTGTTTCTTCTTCTCATCAATCATTTGATTTGTGATTTTCGGTTAGTTTTGAAAATTACTCGATTTTCTTATTGTAATTATAAAATGAGCTCTTAACAACGTCACAATAAAATATAAGTTTATCTTTTAATGCCCAGTCGACTACAATGTAGAATAAATTTATAGAATTAAATAACGCACGACCAATAATTCTAGAATGTTCTATTAACATAGTGATGGCGAACGTGGTCTAGGGTTTAGCGTATCAAGACGTGAATTGTAAGGTCCAGGGTTCGATAGGTAATGTCGCTGAATACGTTCTCCACTATTAGCTGTAGACCGTTTTAGAGCCCCCCCTCCCCAGTGGCACAGCGGATGCCTGCGGACTTACAACGCTAGAATCCGGGTTTCGATGCCCGTGGTGGGCAGAGCACAGATAGCCCATTGTAACTTTAAATCCGGGATTCGATTCCTTGCAGGGGACACAGCTGGTGGCACAGTGTGGCTTTGCTCTAAAAGAAATAAACACAACAACATGTCCCCCGAACTAACAACGCTAAAATCTGGGGCTCGATTCCCCGCATAGATAGAATAAATTTATAGAATTAAATAACACACGACCAACAATTCTAGAATGTTCTATTAACATAGTGATGGCGAACGTGGTCTAGGGTTTAGCGTATCAAGACGTGAATCGTAAGGTCCAGGGTTCGAGAGGTAATGTCGCTGAATACGTTCTCCACTATTAGCTGTAGACCGTTTTTAGAG